CTGGGTAGGCTCAAACCACAACAAGGACCTTGCACTTGGACTTGTTGAACCTCAAGAGGTTCACACAGGCCCATTGCTCCAGCCTGTCAAGGTCCCTGAGGATGGCCTCCCTTCCTTCAAGAGAGTCCACCCCACCACACTGCTCAGCTTGGTGTCATCAGCAAACTTGCTAAGGGTGCACTGAATCCCACTGTCCATGTCACCAACAAAGATGCCAAACAGTGCTGGTCTCAATACTGACCCTTGAGGAATGCTACTTCACTTGTTCCTGCTGCCATTCACCACATAATTTTTACGTACAAAGCAGTGTCAGTGCTAATTACTTAAAACTCTTCAGAAATTGATACAGATTTCAGAGATAATCATAGAATCATTAGGTTGGAATAGACCTCTGAGGTCATCAGGTCCAACCATTGACCTAATACCCCCTTGCCCACTAAACCATGTCCCAAAAGTGCCATACCTACACAGTTTTTGTACACCTCCAGGGATGGTGACTCCACCACTTCCCTGGGCAGCCTGTTCCAATGTTTGACCACTCTTTCGGTAAAGAATTTTTTCCTAATGTCCAAACTAAACTTCCTCTGGCAGAACTTGAGGCCATTTCCTATTCTCCTATCATAGAATCATTCAGGTTGGAAAAGGCTTTTGAGATCATCAAGTTCAACCATCAACCCTACTCTACCAAGTACACCCCTAAACCATATCTCCAAGCACCACATCTAAACGCCCCTTAAAATATTAAGGGATGGTGACTCAACCACCTCTGTGGGCAGCCTGTTGTGGGACAACACTTTCAGTAAAAAAAAATGTTCCCAATGTCAAGCCTAAACCTCCCCTGTTGCAGCTTGAGTCCGTAATCTCTTGTTCTATCATAAATTACCAGTGAGACAAGACCAGCACCTACCTCTCTACAATGTCCTCTCAGGTAGTTGCAGAGAGCAGTAAGGTCTCCCCTCAGCCTCCTTTTCTTAAGACTAAATAGCCCCAGTTCCCTCAGCCGCTCCTCACAAGACTTATTCTCTAGGCCTTTCACCAGCTTCGTTGCCCTTCTCTGCACTCTCTCCAGCACCTCAATGTCTTTCTTGTATTGAGGTGCCCAAAACTGGACACAGTACTCGAGGTGCGGCCTCATCAGTGCCGAGTACAGGGGCACAATCACTTCCCTACTCCTGCTGGCCACACTATTTCCGATATAGGCCGGGATGCCATTGGCTTTTTTGGCCACCTGGGCACACTGCCGGCTCATTTTCAGCTGGCTTGGTTCCTGCCCCTAAAATCTCACATGAAGGTTAGCAAAGTGATGGTATAAGCAATGATTGTGACTGAAAAAGATTTGCCTAAAACATGTCTCAGTTTTTATTTAGACCAAAATATATCATCTTTCTTTTAAATATGCATGTTAAAACAGGAATATGGAGACAATGCAAAGAAAAGGTGAAATAAGAGGAGGAATCTGAGGGAAAGTGTACATTTAAGAATCAAAGTATACTGTGATACAGAAAGTAGGAGGAAAAGTAAGATTCTTAACATCAATCATATAAAATGTTTTTTTCCTGCATAATGAAGTACTCTAGTGATAAATCTCAACAGTTGGATGACAGGCTGAGGTTCTGGTCCTTAGACAGAGCAACAATTCTGAGCTGTAAAGCTGTACAGGAACCCAGAAAATCTGATCCTGACTTAGCTAGTATAGAAAATGTCACACTAAAAATATTAACTAATAAAAAGGACATTTAATTACACAAAAGAAGTCAGAGAACAGAAATGAGTTACCTGTAATCAGTGCCATTCACAGCAGTCCATGTATATGTTCTGTTTCCTTTATCAATGTATCTCTACAAAGAGATATTGGTAAAAAATAAATTATTAACTCTGGAGCTTCAACAAGCGTGACCTTTCCCTGAGAAATAGAGTGTAAAATTAAGTACAAATCTGTTGGAACTCTATTCATTATGTTGCTAAAATCATGAGTTGAACTACAACTCTTTTTCTTAAACATTTTCCAAACTCGTATTATGCAAAAGAATCACCTATATCCTTTTTATTGAACATTAACAAAATGTAAATTTAAATAAAACCAGACTAACATGACCTAGCACTTTCCATTTTAAATCCATTAGCCAGGCCTACGCAAACCTTTTTCTATGTGATTTAAATTTGATAAAAGATGTTACTTTACGGATCATTTTGCAGCTAAACTATGAAAAAAAAAAAATCAATTATAAAAAGACTTTGTAGGTAACTCTCTAATAACAAAAACCTCAGTGCCTGTCCTTTCAGGTCACAGTACCACTGGCTAAATGTATTTAAATTTTAGTTGTATCTACAGGCACAGCCAGGTAACCCTGATTGCGTAAGCACTGCATGCTAAACTTACATGTGTTTCTAATCTCACTAGGAAGGTCTTGAATTTGTGAAAAATTTAACATTGAAATAAATGTTTATTTTTAAATAACTTAGTACATTAAGATAAGCTTTACCATTCATTTCCTTTCGGTATGAAAAATAATGTGATAGACACAGTCCTACAGTTCCCCACAGATTTAATCATTAATGCACCTGGCTGACATGGTTTTACACAGTTTTTCACTTTGAAAACTAAAAGTTTATGCCAGCTGCAACATATTATCATTTTACAATCAGCGACTTGTAAGTACGCCAGCAATGAAGTCTGTACAGCTGCTGCGCTGCAACGTTACAAACATCAGTAAAAGGTACCAGAGGTACACGTCTAGGTTCTTTTCCCTGTGGTAAAGCAAAAGTGTTAAAATGACCGTGATTATGAAAAAGAGGTGGCTTTTTTGATATTTATAACTTGAAACCTTCTCATTACCTGGCTGTGGCTTTTCAGTACAGTATCACAGTGGAAGTAATTTATTAGTCATTTTGGAAAGAAAAAGAAAAAAAAGAAAGAAAATGCATATATCAGTGTCTAATGCCCTGATACATTTCATATTTAAGGTAAAAAGATGGCTGAAGAGATTCCTATCCAAGCATGTTTATATTTAATAATGTGCCTATACTATTACTTCAGCTCAAAAATAAGTAGACACTTGAGCCTAGCGCTGGCAGTCCCTCCAAGTCAGGTGCAGTGCCATGGGTTTTACACACCATGTACGTTGGCAAGAGAAAAGCAGTGCCCAAGGTGGGAGGGAAAGAAGAGAGCTGGGCTCTTACTAAATCCTGTTGCCACCAGACCTGTGCACATGCTTGAGCGCAAATTGTCTGAAGCCTCCTTCGAAGATCACCCAGCAGATGACATGTCCTCATATGTCAGCTCTCATTTACCTTTGCCTGCTTCATTACTGAGCGGTCTGCGAGCACCTCAGCCCCAGCTGGGCACTGCCAAAGAACCTACACACGGTATTGCAGTTTTTGTGACCCCTCAGTTTTCACTACTGCCCACCCTGGCTGCCCGAATGTGGCAATGCTTTTGTTCCTATGGCATCTTCTCTGTTAGTTGGAAAGTCCCTGAGGCCTTGGGAGACTCCAGCGCACCCCACCCACGCTTGCTACGAGTCCAGTGTCTATGCTGTAGTATGAGGTCATCTCCCAAGACACTGCTGGGGCCAGCTGCAATACAGAAGGAAAGCGATGCAAACTGAAACCGAAAAGCAAAACAAAAAGGACATCAATTTTAAGCCTCGAGACTGCAATTGTCAGTTCAGAGCAACTGACCACATCAGCCCTTTTTATAAGAAAATATATGAAACGATCAAGTCTTAAGTGATGCATGCTCATGCATGGCCCGTGGTCTGAAGCAGCTTTATTCTGGCTCTAGCAGCTGCAAGGGTGTAATGGCTTGAAGCAGTCACCATTGCCAGCCATCTCTGGCTGCTCCTGTCTTCTCTCAAGAGAGGTCTGAGTACAGGAAGAAATCTTGGGCCATGATGCAAGCGAAGGTGAGGGAAATTCATTTCATTGGGCACTTGAAGCATCTGGGATCAAAAGGCTTGGGACATTCTAGTCAAATACAGACGATGATGTGGGCCATGCATAAGAGGTGCATTCTCATGCACCCAGGAATGTCACATTTGCCCCCTCCACCCACCGCCCCACCCCCCCCATACTGTGGCTGACTTCAGCATTTGCAAGTGTAAATGCTGCCCCTCCCTTCCTCTTTGGGCAAATAGTTGCAGGACCTTTTATCACACGGCCCGAGAAATGCATGCACAGCCTGAGCTATCTGCAACAGCTTTGCCATGAACGCCATTTCTTGTATAACCCCAACGGTGTCATTGGTTTTTTGTGACCTTCTTATCCTCCCTTTTCTAACCGCCTACACAGAGCCTTTTCACCCATAGGATTGGAAAGGCATTCCTTAAACAAAAGAACACAAGTCTGAATATGTCCCGGTGAGTCCTTCCCTTCAGGAGCAGCTTATCCCCAGCGCAGATGCCAGCAGGACGTCAGACTCTCTGACAGTGGATTAGGAATGACCCAGGCTCCCTTCAGAACAGGAGGACAGGCTGGTGGCTTCCTACGCTGGGGTCCTGATGGGCTCCTGATGCAGGTAGGTAGCAGAATGGACATCAGATGGGGCTTACCCTCCCTGCCCCAGGAAGGCCCTATTCATTCACCGTTCTCCAACAGTAGAACCATTCAGGAAAAGGCATTTTTTGCTCAGCAGGATTGTAAAGCAGCATTGTAAAGCCTTACTCAGGAGAGCTGAGGTGAGGGCTTTACTGCGAGAAAGCACAGAAGAGAGTCCTGGCAGAAGGCAAGGGGACTGCTGGTACAGGTCTCTGCTTTAGAAGAACATGGAAAGAGGTGAAAGGCAGCATGAAGTCGGATACAGAGAAAGAGCACGGGCAGGTTTAATGAAATCATGGGGCTCCACAGGGTCAAGGACCATAGCTTATGGGCACGCTTTGCACCTGGACGATGTAAGTGTATAAGACTTGAGTTACGTTGACTTCCCTTATAGATACTAAAGTAGGAAAGTATGACTCTGCTGCCTACATGACCATCATTATCATCATCTTTCAGCTAAGGTCATCTACAGTTACATTTGTCTGCCCCTACTGAAGCTGAGGTTCTGTTCTCAAGAATAGAGTCTGTGAGGTTCTGCACTTTCTGAGTAGGGTATCAGAAGGAAGACAGTGTCCAACAATGAGTCAACTCCCCAGACTCTGCAATATAATAAAATCCCATGAGAATGCTTCTGCAACAAAGTCACAACCTCGTTAGCAGGGAGTTTAATGAATATACAGATTTTAATTTGCCTCCTCACAGGTGGACACACGTTCAAGTAAAGCCACTGATCTCAATGACACCCATAGCTCAGGAATAAAAAATTACTCTCATTCATTTGAAAAGTTGTGAAGATCTTGAGCATGGCTTCCTGGGCTTATTTGCACTCCTTTTAAATTACACTATCAAAAGCAGCATGCTTTGTCAAATCCAGCACAGCTACTAAGAGGCTGAGGAATGGTCATGAGATGTCCAGATCTGGAGTCCTCAGCGTAGGAGAAACATGGACCTGTTGGAGCAGATCCAGAGGAGGGCCATGAAAATCATCAGAGGGCTGGAACATGTCTCCTATGAAGAAAGGCTGAGAGAGTTGGAGTTGTTCAGCCTGGAGAAGAGAAGGCTCTGGGGAGACTTTATTGCAGCCTTCCAGTACTTAAAGGGGGCCTGCAGGAAAGATGGGGACAAACATTTTAGCAGGGCCTGTTGCGATAAGACAAGGAGTAGCAGTTTTAAACTGAAAGAGTGCAGATTTAGACTAGATATAAGGAAGACATTTTTTATGATCAGGGTGCTGAAACACTGGAACAGGTTTCCCAGAGAGGTGGTAGATGCCCCATGCCTGGAAACATTCAAGATCAAGTTGGACAGGGCTCTGAGCAACCTGATCTAGCTGAAGATGTCCCTGCTCACTGCAGGGGGTTGGACTAGATGACCTTTCAAGGTCCCCTCCAACCCAAATTATTCTATGATTCTAAGTGTGTTCCCAAAGGTCTGTTGCAGAACCAAGTGACCATGAACGTGACGTTGTGAAATCACAGCATGGGGTGAACAATCAAGACATGTCTCAAAAAATTCAGCTCCATTTTCAGCCTCATCTAGAAAAGGCATTGCCATCAATTCTCACCCACAAAGACAAGTAAGTTTCTACCATGTTCAATGAAAAAATAGATTAGGACTATGAAATATTTTTTCTGTATCGAAATGAAAATAAGTCTATAAAAATCTTCCCTCAGTACAAAATTGAGTCAGAAGACTGGTAATAGGAATTGCTTAGTATTGGGCATCACTCGGTGTAATCTACCCAAAATTTAAAGCAGAGTTTAAAAGTTGCTACCATCTATTATACATTAAATAAAATATAAGTAATGTGCTGTTTTTAACAGAATAAAAACACCTGAAACTCCGAGGCCTGATTTCCTATTAATTTGACTTGATTAGATTCTGTAGTATATGCCTTGTGATAAAGAGGAACTTTCAGTGAACCATTCTGCCATTTAAGACAAACAGCAGAGCCACTGGAGATTTTAAAGTTATAAGAGATCAACCAGAGGCAGCAGCTAATACCACACATGAAAAATTAACTGCACAGTCCCAAGTAATACTGTTAAGTATTATGATGGTATGCTTATATATTTAAGCATTGTGTAATGTCTGCTTGATGTGGTATTTGCTTCACGTTCTTCTGCTAAGTCATTAAATTAACTATCTTCAAACTGTTTTACATTCAGAGTAAAACAGTTTCAAAAAGCTGTTGTAGTACTGTAACTGTGGGCCATAATCTGGCCAGAACTGCTCCTTTGGCTCACCAGTCACCATTTCTTCTCATTAAGGTCCCCAAAACGTAGAGCATACATGCAAGGATCCATATCAAATTTGAGTATTTCCTATTGCTAGGGAAAGTGTCTGTCTTATTAGAGAAACCAGCAGCAGTCTTTATCAGAAATGAGCATTTTGGATAAGAAAATAAAGAAAAAACTCAACAAGCTCTTCAGAAAGCACAACTATAAGATAGATTTGCTTATCCCACATAGTCTTCATTTATGGCACATAAATGTATTTTTTCTCACTACTTTCTTCCCATTCAACCACAATTTAAACTACCAAACCCATCCTCACACACCTCCACAAGCAAATTAAGTACTTTCTTTTGGGATTCGTACACAGAAGTAGGCTGGGTCCATTTCCTGGTGAACAGAGTGTAAGACCTCATCAACAACTCCCTGATTAATGATGCACCAAAGAAACCAAGAAACAAAACAATTCCTCTTTTCATAAGTACATAACTTCTTTTACTATATGCCAGTAAAACTAGCAAATCTAGAGGGAAAAATGATAGAAACTGACATTTCAAAATGAACATCCTTTCATCATTTCACAGTATTTTCCTGGTTTTGTTTGTTCCTGTAAATGTAATTGCCTGTGTTTCTATCTTACCTCATCTTGGGACTTGACCAGTGTTTCAAATGTTTTTTCTCCACTTTCTCCATCTATCATTTTTTTCCGAATCTATTGGCAAGGAAGAAAAAGGAAAAAAAAAAAAAAAAGAACTAGGTGTTGCATATAATATGAATAACCTTTTCAGTGATTCAAAATATTTAATGGAAAAATACAGAAAATGGTAATGCATATGAAAGTTATAGCTCTTAAAAAAAAAAAAGTTAAGTTTACAATTTTCAGATTTTTCTAATTAGAAGCTGCTTTATCCAAATATGTCCTGAATCAGTAGAGTTATGAAACAACAATTCTGGTATACTTTGCATAGCAAGACCATCCCATAAAACCCCTTAATGTTGGATGCTAGAGACAGTATGAATTCTGTGTGGATGAGGAGATCTGTCTAGCATTTATTGTGCTTCCCAGCACATCTGTGTGATTCAGGTAGCTGCAGTGATTCACAAAAACATTTTTATGCCATTTTTATTCCTCTCTCAAACAGGCATTTCAAAGAAACTTAAGACAGAATTTAATAGATACCAAGAAATGTTGATTAGTATCATCATGAAAGAGCAATTTCAAAGTGAAAAAAAGTTAGAAAAATGTAAAATGTTTTAAAATCCTCCATTTCACAAAATTAACAAACTACTTTTAAGAATTCTGATTTCTGAACGTATTACAAAATTCGTAACTGAAAAATATACAGAGGAATTAATTTTTTGTCAACATTTAACTTTTATTTCTCAGTTCTCTCTCTCACCACAGCAATAACCTTGAATTAATAACAGATAGGGAAATACTTTTCAAATATTTCACGTAATATATTAGTATCCTATTAAAAAGTGTTCTGTTCTGAAAAATTTTACAAGCCCTTTCCCCAGGAATTGCCACTTAACAAAGAAGAATTATTTAAATAGCAATCGTGATGTCTTAAGAGGAATATAATGCATTGCCCTTGCCTATGAATAATACTGGGTCTCAATTTGTTTCATTATAACTTCATCTCTCTATAAAGTCATTATCTTGACACATTTAAAATTGTAATTTATAGTGAAATAGATTACTATTCAAAATCTAGAACATTCATTGCATTTCAGTTATTATATAGTGAAATACAAGTGGCAACAGGTACTACGAAACCAGTTAATCTCACCTCAACTTTAATATCATTCTCCAATTCAGCATCTAGAAAATCCAGAGTAACAGGCTCCTGGGATTTAGGATTCTGAAGCAGAAGATATTGAATGACCAAATAATAAAGACAGAGTACCATAATGTTACAAATCATTCTAATCCCTTCATTTCAAAGCTACTTAACTGGGCTTATGTTCCCATTATTTTAATCTCTCATAGCATGATGAATTACTAGTGGCCCTTTCTCATTTATTTTATTTCATTGGATAGAGAAGTTTATTGGGTAAGTGAAAATCAAATTAACACTACTGGCCAGTGTCCATCCACATGTATAGGGCTCACGCTGGGAAGCTGCTTCCCCTACTGCTGGTATGTCACAGACTATAAGGGTGGGCGAAGACGCATCAGAGGAAGCATCAGATATGAAACTCTCATTAGCTGTCCTGCCTCCAAGAAAGTAGAGAGAAATTTGGGAGAGTTTTCCAGCTGACCAGTTAGATGCCATTTTGCCAAAAGTAGACTACAGACTTGCTGTTATGAGGTGGGAATGGACTGCGGTTCAAGATTCAGAGGCAGCAATTACAGAAAATGATTTGTTTGTTATAAAAATGAAAAATCACTTTTATTGTCAGCATTACAGCACTTCCCTGAATGCAGTTTTGAATGCATTTCTCTTGACATCAGTACTGTTATCTCAATATAAGAGACAGAAGCCTGTAGCACAGAAATACTGTGACCCAGCAGCTTCAAGACCTAAGGCATGTACAGGATGTCAACCCTCGATGATAGGGCACAGAGCATGGTGGTCTGCATCTGTAGTAGCCCTGGTTCCATAGGAGCGTGGGAAGACCATTGTAGCTTTACTGAACTAGCTCAGACCATCCTTCAGCCTCTGCTCCTTTCTGAGTTGCAGTCTGCATTTACTTGGACAGAACCATGTTCCGTATGAGTTCTTAGGAATCTGACTTTTGGGGGTTTTTGAGTAATTTTGGCTAAGGCCTATTGACTATATTAAATGTAGTGTAAAAATCAAGCCTCAGCACTCACTAGTTATTTAATGCACCTACCTAATGAAGGATCATTAGAAAAAAAGAGTATGGGGATATATTGTTTGAGCATTTTAATCTGATAGTTTAGAATAGAAGATGAAAAAAGTTCAGTTTTATTACTTCTTTTTTGATTGATAATAATTTGCTTTGAGTAATAGGCCAGTTTACACATGAAAGGATCTCAAGGCCTAGTTTTCTCAGCAACTGAGCACTGTTTCTCATATGATTAGCAACACATACATCGTTATTAACTGATACTGTTATTTCAAGACTAGTGTAATTTCTGATAATGACATTTTTAGGGGATTTTAGTGATTCAGCTATACTAACTTATTTACAGGGAGATTAAAGTCCCTTCTTTCAAAATGATGATTATATTCCTTTTATCCTAACATTCTCTGGCAATGTTACATGACAAATGTACATGTGACTATTCTATCAAAGAATATAAGCATGTTTCATCACAATTTACGTATGCATTTCCAGTTCGTACTGGAAGAAAGTAACATCCTGAACAGCTGGTAAAAGATGAGTTCATATAATAGTCTGGAGCATGAAAAGCTTAAGAGTAGCCCTTATTTTCAAGACTGTAATAGAAGATAGTGTTAGAGGGCAAAAAAATTATTCCTTCATATTCTTGAGCAACAAATGTACATGTTTCTGGGTAAATGGAATCATTCCTGTTCTTAGCAAGTAAGACTTACTGTCTACTAAGAGAAAAGCCAATAAATTTATTCTCAGAAAGAGAATATGCACTGGAAAGACTGCAGACAAGGATTCCAGGTATTTCTTTTAAATGTCTACTGATACCTTCAAAGAAATTGCTATGTTTCTATTTATATGGGATAGATAAAAGTAGCAACTTTAATATAATAGAATTAACATATGCTCTCTACTAATTCAAAACAATTTAATTATTGTTATGCAGTTGCTTTCTCCCCCCAACAAATCCACACTCTCAAAATAAATAGCAAAAGGCTAAAATGTAAAAATAAATTAAAAAAATACATTTTCTTACATGCAATGGATAATGAATAGTATGGTCAAACCCAAACAGCATGCATGAAGGCATTGGCATGGCAGAGGAGGCATTTGTGAAGTTCACATTCCATTCCAACACACAAAGGAACAGAGAAGAAAAGAAATGGTAAAAAAAAAAATAAAAAAAAGCCACCACATCAAATCAAGGTCGATATTAATTTCAAATGATAACCTGGGCTAGCCATAGTTAAGGAGTCCCAAAGACAAAATAGTCAACTTTAACAGTCCATCAAAATTCAAGTATACATTAACTGTTTGTTCTTGTTCTTTTTAACACTTATATCACCACACATTCTTTATAAGGTACTTTTAATGACTTTTAATAGATGAAGAAACTAAACATGTATAGATACATTATGTGATGTGCCTGAGGCACAAAGAGCTCCATTAGAAAGTAGAACAGAAAATTCCTAGCCCCATACTTTAAATGAAAGACTATTTTCCCCACTATGTCTTTTTTCCCCAAGAATGTGTTTTTACCAGTATTTGGGCTCCATAATTTTTTCTTCCAAGGTTGCCATTTAGTGGGGTTTATGCCAAGCCATGAAGAAACAAACTTACTATTCAGTTTGCTCTTCTCTTTACCCAGTCATGCACGTGACATGACTAGAATAAGCACACCACCACCACATTCACCAGCACAACTTCATAAAACAATACAGAAGTAAATCACCAGCAACGAAGCATGCAAATACAGGGAGTGCAATCCATTTTCAGCATGACAAATAAAGGCAAAGATCTATTATTTCAATGACAAATCAAGAAGGAAATAAAGAAAGAAAGAACTGGTGCAGCAACAAAAAAAAAAGTTCATTAAAATGTTGTTGTTATGTGTTTTTGGGAGGTCAGTATTCTCACAAATTCTACAGAAGGCCTTCTTTGCTGAGTTGCAGAAGCCTAGTTCCTGCTCATACCTGCAGCACCAATGAAGGCACAGGCTGTTAGGCTTTTAAAATAAGTAATGGTAAGAAGGCACCAAAATCCTGACCCCCAGAAGGAGACTCAGGAGCATCTGGAGTGGATGGGAGCCCGGAGCTTTTCCAGAGCTGCACCTCCCTGGGCAGCCAGCACAGCCAGGCTCCCCAGCAACAGTCAGACCATACCACAGCCCGTCGAGGAGCCTGGGGTACTCAGAAAATTGAGGGGGTTTTATGTTCTGGTGCTGCTTTCTCCAGTGCACAAACAAACAAAAAAATGTAGCCCAGAGGTGGTCTTCTACATGTGGTATAAATGCAGCCACTTGACACTCGGTGAAATCACTGAGCTGAATTAGATCAGGATTTTACACCATGTTTCACTAGTGGTGGTATGCAAGCCACCAGTTTTGCATTATATATTCCCATATGTGTAAGAAGTTAACATGGTATACTGTATCTAATCTTGTTATTTTGCTAGTTACACAGTTAGTCTGTTCCTTTGATGATTTTTAAGTTTTCATTAAGTGCTTTCCACTCAGGGATAGCATTACATAAATGTTCCTAATTTCCTTTTCCCTGTTAAGGTTAATGGCAGTTAATTCTCTGGAGTTGGGTCTGCTAAACCAAGAAACCTGATGTAAATAGTGGATACAACATATGCCCTACTCTGACTTCCTCAGAAAAAAAAAAAAAAAAATTGAACAGCTTATTCAAATTCTGCAATGTTATACAGCATACACTGCACAATAATATGTGGCAGTAAAGTTGTAAGAATGATCTTCTCTTCACTTTTGGTTTATGCAAGCAAAGCCAGCACAAGTAGTCTCTTTTTTTCCCAGTCTTCAAATCCATTTCAAAATCTGAAGAATAATTTTGACAGCACGGCTCTAATTAGCACCTATTAGTAAAGCACCATAATTTAATGGAATGCCCTTCACTACAGCCAATAACATGTTTTCTATTATTTAGACAAGGAAGGATGCAAGCTTCATGCTTTGGAAGCTGTTTGTCAAAGTAAACAGTTCTCTAGTTAGATTTTTCCTAGTAAGCAGGGCAGAAGCTTTCTAATTGTATTTCCAGGTCTATGCATTCTAATGCACTAATCACCTCCATCCAAAGTTACCTGTACATTGGGTCTCCTTTTTCTCAATTTAACTTTTGGTATGCCCACACCAATTTGCTGAAGTAACAAAAAAGCAGTAATTTGTATTTTTATGCTATTAGCAAACAGCCTACTTATAGAATGGAAGTCTTCCCTCAACATCTATACTCTCCAGTGCATCTTTACAGGAAGCACAGACTAGCCCTCACTCCGATCAAGAGTTCTGAGCTCTCTGTCAGAATTACACACAGGTTTTGTCTAGGGAAACAAAAACCAGACATACGTTAAACAATGTGAGTTAAGTTAATAGAGAGCTCTCCCTCCCACATACTCTGCCAGAATTAAAATACAGAAGAGTTTCACTTTTTGTTTACTGTAATATCTGCTCTTAAAACCACTTCCTCTTATGTTTCAGTCAAAACCATAAACCATAAGACAAAATACTAGACTCTACTGAAGGCATCTGGATTTTTAGAACTACCATTAAACAGATTTTGATCAGAACCATAATGACGAATGAAGGAAAGGACGCTAATCTTTAGAACAGATCCAGAAATCAAATTATTTACTGTTTTCAAGTCTTATCTAATTAAGACTAATTTTGTTAACACATGCTTAATGCAATCACTTCAGTGACTATGTTTATTTGATGGAGTATCCACCTGTTCTCTCCCAGGACAATGGGAAAAATACATGCACATATGCCCAGACACACAAAGAAAACTGGCAGTAAAACATAAAATTAAGCACTTGTTTATAAATGTAATATAACTAACTACACAAACTTGAAAAATGGTATTTTAAGCAGTTTAAAACTATGTTGAACTGAAATTTAAAAATTTTTCCTGTGTTATGCTTTGACATAGTTTTCATGTGCAAATAAGAACATGATGGAAAAGTTCTTAATGATTTTAAAATGCTTTTGAATCTGCCTTTCGTTAAATTTTCTCACTTGCGCAAACGACTTTACAAGTTCTATGTTTCTAGGAGCTTTTTTCTGTGAGATGAAACTACAAGACAATTTTTCAAAATATTGTGTTGAACCAGTTGTGATTTGAGGTAAGAGATTTTC